GCCTATTTTATTTGCAACACGTTAAAACCAGGAGTCTTGATCAGGCAGAGAGGTCCTCCATCAATACCTCCGGTTTTATTACAGTCTCACCCCCTTAATTCCATGTCTTAATAGTTGCAACGCAATGTCTTAACCCTCCCACTGCCCTAATGGGTGTGACCCCGCGAGGAAAGTTGACCATTGAACAGGGTTGATGGTTTATCCCTTGGGTCCATGTGGCAGGGGTGAGGTGGTGCTCACTCCTCACCCCTGCCACATGGACCTCAAGGGATAAACCATCAATCCTGCTCAATGGTCAACTTTCCTCGCGGGGTCACTCATAAAGACAGTGGGAGGGTTAAGACATTGTTCCAACAACTGACTCCATCTTGCTTTGGACTGAATATGTCCCTCTCTCTATTATTTTCATTTGCTATCTTTCTACCTGACTTCAACTTTCACTTCCTGTTTGAAAAAGTCACAGAAAGCACATTAAAGGATGCACACTGGCTAAACCTGCAGAGCTGTGTGTCTCTACATAGCATCCTCTAAAACATGTGGGCCACAGCTGTGCAGGGAAGCACGAGGTCTGACAGTGGTGAAGTGCCCTCTCTCTCTCACTGACTCGTGTGTGGACGTCCACACACACTGTTAAACTCGTTGCTGTGTGAACACAACAAACTCTTCAAGCAAGAATCCTAACCATTGATGTATGTTTGTGCGTGCGTGCGTGTGTGTGTGTGTGTGTGTGTGTGTGTGTGTGTGTGTGTGTGTGTGTGTGTGTGTGTGTGTGTGTGTGTGTGTGTGTGTGTGTGTGCGTGTGTGTGTGTGTGTCGGTTTCTGATGCAGCCCTGTTATGGTTTTTGGGTTGTTTTGGAAATGAGGGAATTTAGTGTTTCATCTAAATTAGAGCTTGCAGGCTGGAGGACATCAACTATACTGCTTTACTCTAAATTATTAAAAGCTATCTCTTATTGGAGCTGGGACTGAAATAGTTCACAGGCCACAGAACATGACTGCTGGCACAAAACTATATAATTTATATTCTCTGCTATTCTGCTGCTATCAGCCTTATTGTTATCTTCTGTACGAACGGCTTCAAGGCTGCCGTGATTGGCAAAACAGAACCATTTAAAATAAATGTCAGGTAAAATTCAAGTTTTGATGAAGGGAAAAACCCAACTGAAAGAAATGTTGACTGTGCTGACTGCTTGATCTTGTTGGTGCTAGCTCAGCGTCCGGGTGTTGTGTGAGGCAGACGACAGAAGCCCTCACCGTCAGCGATCACCCTGACACTGGCTCCCTCAGCGAGGCCTACTGCCAGCCCTCCTCTGCAATGCAAATACCTCTTCCACATGAGCAGACCCATCACTAGCACTCCCCGTACACTTGTATTCTGTGTCATTACCCTCAGGAACCAACACACACACACATGCTGCTTCTCTCCCCTACCCTATGCCTCATGCTGCTGCCCTTAAGTCGGACGGGGTAGTGTGGAGGGTGGGGTGGGGGGGGGGGGGGGGGGGGTGCTGAGGCCTAAAACAAATCCTTTTGGCCGGCTGCGGTGGAGCGCTGCCATGGGCCGTTTCCACTCACACATTCTGTCAGTCACTTTCCTCTCCCTGCCCTCTAGCCATGTGCACTGCATTTCATTAGTCTTAATTTTTGCTGACAAATGCTGGCCGCCATGCTGTGCACCCCCCCCCCCCCCCCACACACACACACACACACACACACACACACAAAAACCCCAAAGCGTGGCCAGATCTAGATCTGCCTCACAAATGAGCCTTCTCTGCTTCCACCACATGTCTGATTGCTGTCCGAGTCGAGCGGATACACGGCACACGCTGGGCACTTAAATGAACCGCACAAGTAACGATTGTGTTTGTCATGAATTGAAAATTTGGACAGAAAATTCACGGAAACCGTATCCTCAGAAGGATGTTGGGAGATTGAACAACACACAAAAGGGGGACTGAGGTTTCATCACCCATTCTGCCTGTTTTGTCGTTGAGCTCAGATGTTCTCGGGTTGTTTGGCAAAGATTACAAACTTCAGACCATCCTGCTGGACTTCTGAGTCAGAAATGCTAGATCCAAGTTTCGTTAAACTAAAAGCTATGGGTGTCTTTTTCTTGCATGTTTCAGTGACGTCCATCTTGTTTTCAATTTACAGGAAGTAAACATATCACCTCTGGTTTCCTTTGGTGTTATCTTTTTGTGACTCGATGTTTTGCGCTTTTGTTTAATTATTCAAAATGCATGTGGTGCATTTTAAACAGAAGGTCAAGCACTGAGAACATGAAATGTGTTGCAATTAAGGGGCAATCTCCACCTGCCAAAAGTGAAGTCAATGCGGAAGAGACAAAACATTGCAGTTCCCCCCTCATCCACTAGAGGCTGGATTCAGGTTGGAGCAGGCTCCCATTGACTCCTATGTTTAAAATGTTGACTTCACAGCAGGAATAAACTTATTTAGTAGGTCAAGTTTATCGTCACTACAACTCTGAGGGCAGTGAATGTTAGTGTAACTCATCCGTTTAGATGTAATTAAAGCTTGACGTTGTGAAAACGTAGGGGTGTGTCCTTTTGATTGACAGATAGTAGGTGTCAGCGCTAGCGTTTTGCCCTCCTGCTTGCTCTAGGGAAGGCTTCAGCTTTTGCCTCACAGAGTACGTTTACATGCAGCCAATATCCGGGTTAAGATCGGGTTAAGGTCGGTATTCGGGTTTCTGAGTTGATCAGAATAACCCGTTTACAAGCATAAATAGAAAGAGTTACCCCTAACTTGCATAACCCGATTTAAATGCGGACGTTGGGGTAGCGTCAGGACGTGTGGACTACGTCTTGCGTCATTTCCGGTTCTTCTTGTTCCGGTATCCGTGAAAACAACAACATTTTTCCCAGTTCGGAAGAGATAGCGACCGCGTTTGTTTGCGCTTTAGTTTCCTCGTCACTCAAAGTGTGGTGCTGTGCCACGACTCGCCATGTTGCTCCCAACTTGTTGTTTACTTCCGGAGTTCTGGCGCATACAAGACGTCTCGCTACTCAAAAGACCAAGATCCCTTGCGAACAGAGCATGCGCAGAACACACGCTGTGATGGGGATATCCCGGTATGCGTTTACACGACCAAACATTCGGGTTAGAAAAGGGTTACCCCAGGTGTAGTATCCGGGTTTTTGGCGGTGCTTACAAGGACCTGCGGAACCGGGTTATTGTGAATATTCGGGTTTTAAAAGGGTTACTGGCCGCATGTAAACGCACTGACAGTTAAAGTGACTCTACAGGTGACAGCATGGAGGGTTTGCCCATACTGTATACACAGTCACTGGTTTCAATGGACCCATCAACCATCCTGGATGACATTCAATGAGCTCCAGAGTCAGAATGAACTGTCAACTGGCCCAAAACTAATTCAAATGTGTTTTCCCTGGATCAGAAGAGAACAGTAAGTCTTAGTGAGACACATTTCCTATAACTTAGTCATCCACAGATGACTACCCAGACTAGATGTTAGATGTTTTATCTTTGAACATGCAACTTAAACCTGTCAACATGACCCCACACCTCCCTCATCCTTCTCTTCTCTGTTCTTAGTATTTCAACTGCACTGTCACTTTATCTCCCTCTAATCTCTCACCCCACTCCTCCTTCCCCCCATAATGGCTCAGGGTCCACCTGGAGAGAGGTGGGCTCTGATTGGACCCACTGATACACAGGTTTTAAGTTTGTCTTCATTTTTGGGTTTTGATTTGCCGTCTTCTTTGATGTGCAGTTTTGTATTCTATTGTAAGTTCATCCTTTTTTCTCTGTGTCAACACATGCAAGGGCACACAGACAGACAAACACACCCCTCCACTGGAGGCCATATAGTTTATCATCCATGGAGACACCCCTTCTGCTCCCACTTTGTCTTTGTGTCTGCAGTAAGTGGTGCACCTGTACAAGCTAGTACAAGGACCCATGCGTGAATGGATTATCACTCAGAATCTGAGCCTTACCTTTCGTAAAATTGTTGCATCAGCCACGCTGTTGTTGTTTAGCCTCACTAGTTCTGGTTATGCATCATAAAGTCAAGCTGCCATTAGATCACCTGAGTCACACAGGATCAAAATGACCTAAACATGTCGAGATGTCACACAGGCAGTGACATTCACAGTCAAAAACAAACCACACGTAGAGTGTGTCGTCCCCCCCCCCCCCCCCCCCCCATTACACACTAAACCCAGCTCTCTAACCCAGATCACAGTTGTGTCACATGATTGCATCTCACAGACTGGCGGGCAAGCAGTCTCCAGCCACAACTAGAAATAGGTTAAACAGGCTAAAAATACCCAAAACATTAATAATTCAGCTTTTTTTTTGCAAACCTGTACCTCAGAAAAAATAGCACACTTCTCGCTGTGAAGTGGCTTAATGGGCGGAGTGTGCCTGTGGATTATTTTCGTATTTCGTGAGGCGTCTCCCCTGAAGACTGAGATTTATCCTGAGTGGTGGAAGGGGCGGGAAGGGAGATGAAGGGAGAGGGACTGCATTATAATGTCATCATCAGTGCTAATGTCAAAGATGGGGGTCACAAAACAGTCATCTGCTACTCCAGGCAGGTTGTGAACTTCTGGAAGTTAGCAGAGAGCTTTCTATCAAATCTAGTGACGATAAGTGAATCTAGAAACGCTTGGAGGAATTGGAAAGGATGCAAATGCAGAAAGTGTCTAAAAAACAACCAACTGATCATTAGGCTGAGGAAAAATAATACTTTGATTTATAAAAAGTTGAAAATGTAAGCATGTAAGTTTACAGAGACAGATTTTTGGGATGTTTGAAATAAATGATCATGAGGTTTTGATTGTGGCACAATTGTGCGATATTTCTATGGTGTAATATAGGTAAAATTATATATATATATATATATATATATCTATATATATATATATATATATATATATATATATAAATAGATAGATAGATAGATAGATAGATAGATAGATAGATAGATAGATAGATAGATAGATAGATAGATAGATAGATAGATACAGGGTTCCCACGCGTCCTGGAAAACCTGGAAAACCTGGAAAATGATAGTCCAATTTTGCAGTCATGGAAAACACATGGAAAATGGGGGGAATTGCAAAATGTCCTGGAAATTTTTGAGTTGTCCTGGAAAATAATTTTCCCTCCTTGTGGATAAACAAACGGATTATTGGGCAATATTGGGCTGCAGCGCTTCTCCTTTCATTTCTGCATCTAGCTGGCACAGTGCCCCACATGATGCTTCCAACCAATCAGATTGCATATTCCCCTTCCGTTCCAGTTCCACTTCTGTTTTTCTAACTGTCTTTTTTGCTAGATTTACAGATTTTTCACCCCTAGATTTATTTCCCCAAAGAAGGGCCAAAAGTAGTGACTCGGTTCACGAGTATTGCTTTATTGCAGTTTATAGAGTGAGAGGTTTTTCTCCTTCTCTCTGTTGAGTGACAAAGGAGCAGCGGAGAGCTTTTGTTTTTTTCACTCTGCATTGAGACGAGCGAACCTGACGAGAGCTTCAGGATAGCAACGGATAGCAGGTAGTCTACCGGACCCGCGCTCCACTCAGTAATTCATACTAGTTCTATCGTCCGACAACAGAAACAAAAATATGTGAATGAGAAAAATGTCATGAATTTGATTCTATCAAAAATACTAAGTATGTGCTCAGAGGACAGAGCCTCAGCTGTTCATACTGTTTTTAGCTAGCTACACAGACCGCAGCCAGGAGGCAGTGAGAACTGAAGACTGGCATGGTCGTTTGAACAAAGTTGTTAATGTAATTAAATTGAATTCAACATGGCTAAATTAATAACTAGAATGATTTTAAGTGGTAACTATATATTTATCATAGTAATGCTACGTACAGTCCAGACTAAAAAAGTAGCAAACAACTACAAGTACTTATCTCTGAGGTAGAAAAAAAAATTTTCTCAGGTCCAATATGTCTGTGGTGTTAGCGGGAGATATTAGCCTAGTCATCTACCCTGAATCTTGTTTCTGGATGACTGGACTAACCTAAAATGACCAATACTGGAACAACAAAATGCAGTTTAACATCCAACTATGTGAAATAAGCAGTAAAGTGTAATGTGGTGTGTACAGTAAGTATAATACATAGAATATGAAAGATATGAAAGAGCTAAGGTTTGAAAAGCAAGCCTAATTTATTGAATAAACAGTCAATATAAACAGTAACAATCTTTCAAAATATGTCTTTGTGTCCTTTATAGGCAGGAGAGTGTGATGACAGGAAGACGGTGCAAATTCAAAACTTTTCAAAACTGGCTTTTTGCTAGCCCCAAGACTCTCTGCCTGTGTGTTGGGGTTTACCCCGGGGGACAAGAGGGTAGCTTCCCTGCGCCTTTGGGTCGGGGAACGGGTCCTGACTGTTGTTTGCGCTTATGGGCTAAATATCAGTTCAGAGTACCCACCCTTTTTGGAGTCCCTGGGATGAGTGCTAGATAGTGCTCCATCAGGGAACTCCATTGTCCTACTGGGGGACTTCAATGCTCACGTGGGCAATGACAGCATGACCTGGAGGGGTGTGATTGGAAGGAACGGCCCGCCTGATCTGAACTCGAGTGGTGTTTCATTATTGGACTTCTGTGCAAGCCGCAGTTTGGCCATAACGAACACCATGTTCGAACATAAGGATGCCCATCGGTACACTTGGTACCAGGGCGGCAGCCTAGGTCGCAGGTCGATGATAGACTTTGTAGTCTTATCATCTGACCTACGGCCGTATGTTTTGGACACCCGAGTGAAGAGAGGAGCGGAGCTGTCAACTGATCACCACCTGGTGGTGAGTTTGATCAGATGGCAGGGGAAGATGCTACATAGACCTGGCAGACCCATACGCATAGTGAGTGTCTGCTGGGAACGCCTGGCTGAAGAACCTGTCAAGACGGTCTTCAACTCCCACCTCCGGCAGAGCTTTGACCACGTCCTGAGAGCAGTGGGGGACATTGACTCCGAGTGGGCCTTGTTCCACTCTGCGATTGTTGAGGCGGCTGCTGTTAGCTGTGGTCGCAAGGTGGCCGGTGCCAGTCATGGTGGCAACCCCCGTACCCGCTGGTGGACACCAGAGGTTCGGGGAGCCGTCAGGCTGAAGAAGGAGGTCTACAAGGCGTGGCTGGTCTGTGGGTCTCCTGAGACAGCAGACAGTTTCCGGATATCCAAGCGGGGTGCAGCAGTGGCAGTTGCCAAGGCAAAATCTCGGGCGTGGGAGGAGTTTGGTGAGGCCATGGAGAAAGACTATCAATCGGCTCCAAAGAGGTTCTGGCAAACTGTCCGGCGCCTCAGGAGAGGAAGGCAGCAACTCGCTCACACTGTTTACAGTGAGGATGGGGAGCTGCTGACGTCAACTGGGGCTATAGTCGGACGGTGGAAGGAATACTTAGAGGAGCTCCTCAATCCCTCCTACGCGCATTCCGAGGAGGAAACAGAGCCAGGAGACCTGGAGATGGACTGTCCAATCTCAGGGGCAGAAGTTGCTGAGGTAGTCAAACAACTACACAGCGGCAGAGCCCCAGGGGTGGATGAGATTCGTCCTGGGTATCTCAAGGCTATGGATGTTGTAGGGCCGTCGTGGTTGACAAGTCTCTGCAACATTGCGTGGTAATCAGGGGCAGTTCCTGTGGAATGGCAGACTGGGGTGGTGGTCCCCATCTTTTAGAAGGGTGACCTGAGGGTGTGTTCCAACAATAGGGGGATCACACTCCTAAGCCTCCCTGGAAAAGTCTACTCCAAGGTACTGGAGAGAAAGGTCCGATCGATAGTTGAATCTTAGATTGAGGAGGAGCAGTGTGGTTTTCGTCCTGGCCGTGGAAATGTGGACCAGCTCTATACCCTTGCAAGGGTGATGGAGGGGGCATGGGAGTTTGCCCAACCAATCCACATATGTTTTGTGGATTTGGAGAAGGCTTATGACCGTGTCCCCAGGGGCTCTCTGTGGGGGACGCTCCAGAAGTATGGGGTGGGTGGCTTACTGTTAAGGACCATTCAGTCCCTTTACCAGAGGAGCGTAAGTTAGGTCCACATAGCTGGTAGTAAGTTGGACCTGTTCCCGGTGAGGGTTGGACTCCGCCAGGGCTGCCCTTTGTCACCGGTTCTGTTCATTACCTTTATGGACAGAATTTCTAGGCGCAGCCATGGTGTGGAGTGTGTCGAGTTTGGTGGCAGGAGAATCTTGTCTTTGCTTTTTGCAGATGATGTGGTCCTCCTAGCTTCATCCAGCTCTGACCTTCAGCTCTTGCTGGGTAGGTTCGCGGCCGAGTGTGAAGCGGCTGGGATGAGGATCAGCACCTCCAAATCTGAGACCATGGTTCTCAACCGGAAAAGGGTGGCTTGCCAACTCCAGGTCGGGAGAGAGGTCCTACCTCAAGTGGAGGAGTTTAAGTATCTTGGGGTTATGTTCACAAGTGAGGGTAGGAGGGATCGGGAGATTGACAGGCGGATTGGTTCAGCATCTGCAGTGATGCGGACGTTGAGCCGATCTGTCGTGGTGAAGAGGGAACTGAGCCAGAAAGCCAGGCTCTCGATTTACCGGTCAATCTACGTCCCAATCCTCACCTATTGTCATGAGCTTTGGGTAATAAACGAAAGAACGAGATCGAGGATACAAGTGGCCGAAATGAGTTTCCTCCGTAGAGTGGCCGGGCTCAGCCTTAGAGATAGGGTGAGGAGCTCGTACATTCGGGAGGGACTCGGAGTAGAACTGCTGCGCCTCCGGATCGAAAGGAGTCAGTTGAGGTGGTATGGGCATCTGGTCAGGATGCCTCCTGGACGCCTCCCTGGGGAGGAGTTTCGGGCATGTCCTGCCGGCAGGAGGCCCCCGGGTCGACGCAGGACACGTTGGAGAGGTTACGTCTCCAATCTGGTCCGGGAACGCCTTGGGGTCCTGCCGGAGGAGCTGGTGGAGGTGGCCGGGGAGAGGACGGTCTGGAGCTCCCTAGTTGGGATGCTGCCCCCGCGACCCGGACCCGGATAAGCGGAGGAAGATGATGACGATTTCAATCAGCACAGTGAATTAACCTGGTTCAGTTGCTGAGCAGAACAAAAACATGACATGGAGATGACTTGGTGATGCCACAATGTCACATCTCTGGTATGAACTAAAGTAGAGAATAACTTCTGTTTTAGTTGTGTTGCATTGTAAGTAGAGGAAAGCAGGTGGGATTGTGAAAGACAAAAATATTTCCACAACTATATTGTCAAAATAACGGTATAGGTAGGTACAATATCATATATGTTTCTAAATATATCGGGATATCCGCAAACCGTAGTTATGATAACTTGACTTGTACACTGAAAAAGTCTTGAAAATGTCCTGGAAAAGTCCTGGAAAATAATTTCAAGAAAAGAGTGGGAACCCTGAGATAGATAGATAGATAGATAGATAGATAGACAGACAGACAGACAGACAGACAGACAGACAGATAGACAGATAGATAGATAGATAGATAGATAGATAGATAGATAGATAGATAGATAGATAGATAGATAGATAGATAGATAGATAGATAGATAGATAGATAGATAGATAGATAGATAGATAGATAGATAGATAGATAGATAGATGATAGATAGATAGATGATAGATAGATAGATAGATAGATAGATAGATAGATAGATAGATAGATAGATAGATAGATAGATGATAGATAGATAGATAGATAGATAGATGATAGATAGATAGATAGATAGATAGATAGATAGATAGATAGATGATAGATAGTTAGATAGATAGATAGATAGATAGATAGATAGATAGATAGATAGATAGATAGATAGATAGATAGATAGATAGATAGATAGATAGATAGATAGATAGATAGATAGATAGATAGATAGATAGATAGATAGAGGGGCGGATTTAGGACTGAAGAAGATCTGGGGCTTAACACACACACGCGCACACACACTAGTCAACAACATCATATATACAGTATATGTCTTGTACCACATAATTTTTAATCTGAAGCTACATATTAAGCATTTTCAGGGCAGAGTATTGTTCCTGTTAGTGTTTAGTGTGAGATGATAGTAAATATTCCCTTTCTTTCTCCAACAACTTTACCTGATAGTAAGCTAACTTTAGGCAAACCAGCAGCACAACAAATATTTTCAAATAAGACTCACAAACCTGAGTCAACACCAGTCTCATCAAAGCTGGGGTTCTGTCGTTGTACTTTTTGTCAAAAAAACGTCCTTATGTCCATCTTCACTCATGCGTTTCAGGCAGAGACTGCAAAAGAAGCCAGCTGCTGAAGGGCTTCTTCTTCAGTGGTGGAGGCTCAGGCAGGCTGTATACAAACTACTGCCAGCTGCTCCCTCTCTGTTGGACTTTGGTACTGCACGTTACTTCCACGATTTAGATCCGGGGCTTTTCATGAAACATCCGGGGCTTCAGCCCAAGTAGCCGGGCCTAACACCACCCCTGGATAGATATATGCCAACTAGGCATTTGAAGTACAAGTCCATGTTCCTGCTGTGAAAATCAGATGCACGAGCTTTAGGGCTCCGTGGGAAACCTTTT